GAAGTCCGAGCTGCAGAAGAGACACACGTGCACAGACCTGGGTGAACTGACAAGCTATCTTGGCTTGCGGATCACCCGGGACAGAGCACGCCGCACCATTACCCTGACTCAGTCACACATGGTGCAGCAGGTCCTTCAGCGCTTCGGCTTCACGTACTCCTCGCCTCAGTCCACTCCTCTGCCTACGGGACACTCGCTCTCAGCTCTGCCTTCGGATGAGTCCGTAGAGTCGAGTGGTCCGTATCCAGAGCTTGTGGGCTGCCTCATGTACCTGATGACCTGCACTCGACCTGACCTCGCATACCCTCTCAGCATCTTAGCACGCTATGTTGCTCCCGGCCGTCACTGGAAGGAGCACATGGATGCAGCTAAGAGGGTGTTGCGCTACTTGTGCAGTACGTCGGGCATGGGGCTAGTGCTTGGAGGGCGAGAGCGGCCTGTGCTCACTGGGCACTCAGACGCTTCTTGGGCTGACGACCAGGCTACTCAGAGGTCGTCTCAGGGTTACACCTTCAGTCTTGGCTCTGGCTCTGTCTCTTGGCGCTCTACTCGCTCTTCTTCATTTCTCAGCTCCAGCTGTGAGGGTGAGATCTACGCCACGGCCATGGCTGCCCAGGAGCTTCGCTGGCTCACCTACCTGCTGACTGACCTTGGAGAGCGGCCTCGTTCTCCTCCAGTGCTGTACGTCGACAACAAGGCAACCATTGCCTTGTGTCAGGAGCACAGACTGGAGCACAGGACGAAGCACATTGCTCTGCGCTACTTCCTTGCTCGAGAGCTGCAGCAGCGTAGTCAGCTTCGCCTGCGTTTCGTGGCCACTGAGGCCAACACTGCTAATGTGTTCACCAAGGCACTTCCGCCTCGTGACCATCAGCGCTTTTGCACTCTGCTAGGCCTTGTGCCCACTGGGCCTCACTTGCTTACCTCTTGACCTTGCTTGTACTGCTGCATATATATATCCTTGCTCTTGCTTGTTTAGCACTGTTATATATATATATGCTCTGCTGCATGTGACCTGGCCTTGTGGCCTTGACCTTGTGCTCGGAATTTGTGTGGTATCCTTGAGATCCACCCTGAGCTTGCTTTGCTTTACTTTGCTTTGCTTGACTGGTCTTGTGGCCCCTTGCTCTCCCCCACTTTGCCTATGGGGGTGTGTCAGATGATTATATATTGCTGATGCATATATGTAGGCTGTAGTGGGGTCGCCCATATGGGGTACAACCCTATTAGGGTTTGTACTTGTAATTGTTTCATTTCATAGTGCATCATCCTTCGCCTCTATCTCAACACCGGTGTCGGGGCACGTGTGCCTATACTCCATTCCAAATTCGTAGGATCATTTGTGCTGGCCGGAATGGGGTACCAACAGATGTGGGACTTTAGCCGCAATTTTGGCATACCATGTCCTGGAAAAGGCACTTTCTATAAGTATCTGGGGGATGATAATGGATTGTGGAATACGATTCTTAGGGAGGCGGAGAAATCAATGGCAGCGGTGCGCGAAGAGATGAGCAGACGAGACATACCTGGGGAATGGGTAACTGTAGATGGTCGGTGGTCACATGTCCGAGAGGGCGAGTGGTGTACCGTGTCATTCATAGATGCTGTTACGCGGAAGATATTGTATTGTGTGACAACAAGAAAAGGGGTTGATGATACATCCTCTGTGCGATTGGAGAGGGTTGCGTTCGACAAAGGAGTTGATGAGCTGGCGCTGTTGGGATTTGATGTGGAAGGAATCATTTCAGACCAAGGGACGACCTTCAAAGGTGCAGCGACAGAGCGGAAACTGAACCATCAGGTGGACTGGTGGCACGTGAAGAAAACGTTGTACAAGCTTTTCAGCAAAGAGCTTCAGGATGCAGTGCGGGCGCCGGTAGCCGTGGACAAGGCAAGTTGTATTGACGAGTTGTGGTTGGCTACGGTGGAAGGGCTGCGGGGGTGGTTGCGAAAACGGGGTTTGGAGAAAAAAGCGAAGGCATCACTCAAATCGGATCTTGTGCAATCGGTCTGCACAGCCATGGGCACCTTTGCCTACGTGCACATGACACCCGATGAAGCAAAGTGGATGTTTCCGGAGCTGAGAAAGGTGCGACGAGTGGGGGGGGAACAGGGGGTTGTTGATGTCCCTGTGACTTATGCTGAGGTGCAAAATGGTCCAACAGGAGATAGGCGGACCACTACAAGCGATGAAGCGGTTGACGAGGCGGAAATGGGGAATGCTACAGTTGACGTGCAGTGGCCGGATGTGGAGCTTTGGAGTTATGATTTGCATCCAGTGCAAGGCGCGCGACCCTCGTCTGTGGCAAGTGCATTCATCGTGCATGCACATGCAGGTGCTGGCGATGTCTCCCGGTCAATCGGTGGGACGACTCCTTGGGCCAACGCCGACGAATTGACTGGTAAGAAGGCTCACAAATGTGAAATTTTTACTGCTCATGTGGATTGGTTACTCATTCATGTTTCCCTCCACTATTGTCGTTCACCAGGAGACGATGGCATGGGTGGTTCGGACCCACCCATGACTAACCCTGCGAGCGACAACGAGGGTGCAGTGCACGATGGTGATGCAGCAGGAAGCGGGTACGGACAGTCCCTGCCTCGGTGGGTTGGGCGCCGGAAACGTAAACGGGGTGGAGATGCGGTACACGCAGGCGATGAAGAGAGTACCGTGGCGCAGCGCTTTGGATCGCATTTTTTCCATGTGATGATGCACGCCGGGAGGATGAAGGAAGCGGGCACCCCTATGACTCCTGATGATGTGGCGAGGGAGATTGGGACGGCCCCAAACCATTGGGCGGGTGACCATTCCGGGTGTGGAAAGTCTGGTGGGGTCCCGCCAAGGTGTGTTACTGAGAATTGGGGGAGGGAATGTGCTCTTTACGAGCCTGGGTCAGAAACGCACAAGGCGGTGCTTGCTTGGTTCGAGAAACGGTTGTCGCCGGAAAAGGTGAAATCCTTTGTTCACGGAGCCAACAGTTCGATCAATGAATCATTTCATTCTCTGATCCTCAAATACGCCCCTAAGCGTATTCGGTTCCAGGATAGTCTTGTGCCACGCGTGGCTCTCGCTGTCTTGCACTAGAATAACTCGATGGATAGATTGGTCACTTCCTATCACACACGAGTACGGCGAGTGACGCGCATGCGTCGGGGCAACAAGGATCGCACACTAGGACCGATGGAGTGGTCGTGGGTTGATCGGATCATGGGGGACTGGCAACGATCGTTAGGGGATGGTGTCGACGATGATATTATTGAAGATGCATCTAGGAGCCAAGGAACGGAACAGCAGACCGCTGACACATCTGATTGTGGGGGCCACCCATCTGTACAGCAGCCCGCTACACCTGTGCGACGTAGTGGGAGGGGTCGCGGTCGGTCATCGACGCATGGTGCTGCGAAGCGCATACTTCTAGGTGAGACTAGTTGCATATTTGCAACATATCACACCCTATCTCATCAACCTGACCGACACTTTCCGTTTGTGCTAATGTTACAGGTGACATCACCAACCATCCTCGGTAAACGTCACCGTCACACCTATGGGACTCACAAACGTCCAACATTATCATTTTGGTCGCCGCGCCGCACCGCTACCGGCATCAACGACGCCCATGTGCTCACCACCGGTAATATGGCACCCTAGTATTGTAATTGTTTTTCCTCTTCCACCAACTCCAGTGGCCTTCAAATCTATCGCCCCCTTTCCAATCCACGCTTTCTTGTCTAACTCATGCCCTTCCCCTTGACAAACAGACTTTTGATGTTTCGGACCCCCATCCCCTACCCTGTGATACATCCCATGTCAGCTCCTACAATTGGTCCCGCCAGTGCAGGGAGTGCCGCTGCTGCCCCCCGGGACGTCAGACGCCTAGTGGCAAATGACCCATGCTGACATTTCGGTGCATTTGGCATCTGCACTAGTGCATGATATCCCAAGCAAACTCCCCATTCTCTCCACTTCCCTCTCCTCTCTCCTATCTCCACTGACAACTCTCTCATCCTGACTCTCCTCTCTCCCATCCCAAAGACGATCACCTTGCCTCTTTCCCACCTCTGCTCTCTCCCTCCCCTTCCCCCCTTCCCCAACACTCCCCACTCCCCCACGTTCGGACAGCCATTGGACGCAAAAAGCAGTGAGTTCGAGCTTGTCAACCCTCTGCCCCTCCTCCCTGTTCTAGGCTCCCTTGACCATCGTCATCGTCTCTGCCCCCCACCCCACTCCCCCCATGACCCCCCCCCCCCCCCCCCCGACCCTTCCCCCCTCCGCAGGTCAGCCGTTGCAAAGCTCCAGCAAGGAGGGCCCTTCCAAAGTTTCCCTCCCCTCCTTTCATTTCCTCGACACCGCCACAACCCGTCCCCCCAAGTCAGCTCGACCGTCCCGCGTCGCTCCGCTAGCATCTCACAATATCTAGGTGTAATGGCTCTACGTTTGTAGACAACTACAAGTTGTTCCTCTTCGGGGGTGTAATGCTTGGTGAACCTTCAGTTCATTTGTCCCGGCTGACTACGATGTTGTGCTGGCAAGTGTGCGTCACCGATTTGAAGTGCTACTTTGCCGCTTGAACAGTGATTCATGGTGCTGTCTACTCACCATGTATGACACGCCTCTATGCTATTACCGTGCTCTGTTGGACCCTAAGCTAGGGGTTGGCTATGTTGTGAATGTTGGGTAGGGGATATATCTTACACAGCTGCATACACGAACAGTTCTTCAACTCTATGTGTAGGAGCATGGTTCAATACTGAGATATGGCATACCGGTACAAAGAGCATACATTGTACTTGATTCCAACAGCCAGCTAACCCTGTCTTATTGAGGTACATAAGGTAGCCACCATAGGGCGCTGCCGAAGTGCTTGCAGAGTGCCGTGCACAGCGACATGTCGTGCACAGTTGCCTGACTTGTTGTTGGCTGATGGGTGTTGCAGCTCCCAAGCCCGCCTTACACGCAGGGACGACGGCAACAGCTAGTGCAGGGCCTTATAGGGCTGAGGTCAGCAGAGGGTATGGGGCAAGGGGTGTTGCTGAAGGCAGTCTCGAGAGGAGGCTGATACTGCGTGTGCACTGCGGCGTGGTGGATCCAGTCCTAGATCTGCTTTTGCGCAGGCGGATGGGTGGGGAGTGGGGCGAGGGAGAACAAGGGGGTGAGTGGAGAGCAAGGGTATGAGCATGGCAGGAAGGACAGTGCACAAGCCTGGTATGGGTGGCAAGCAGGTTTTGATGGATGTGGACAACACCTGGAGATGAGGGGAAAGCAGGGAATGAGATGAGGGGAAAGCAGGGAATGAGATGAGGGGAAAGCAGGGAATGAGATGAGGGGAAAGCAGGGAATGAGATGAGGGGAAAGCAGGGAATGAGATGAGGGGAAAGCAGGGAATGAGATGAGGGGAAAGCAGGGAATGAGATGAGGGGAAAGCAGGGAATGAGATGAGGGGATAGCAGGGAATGAGATGAGGGGAAAGCAGGGAATGAGATGAGGGGAAAGTAGGGAAGGAGATGAGGGGAAAGCAGGGAAGGAGATGAGGGGAAAGCAGGGAATGAGATGAGGGGAAAGCAGGGAATGAGATGAGGGGAAAGCAGGGAATGAGATGAGGGGAAAGCAGGGAATGAGATGAGGGGAAAGCAGGGAATGAGATGAGGGGAAAGCCGGGAATGAGATGAGGGGAAAGCAAAAAATGAGATGAGGGGAAAGCAGGGAAGGAGATGAGGGGAAAGCAGGGAATGAGATGAGGGGAAAGCAGGGAAGGGGAGGGGGGGAAGCAGGGAAGGGGACATGGGGCAGCAGGGAAGGGGAAGGGGGGAAGCGGAAAAGGGGATAGGGGGAACCATGGAAGGGGAGGGGGGGAGCAGGGAAGGGGAGGGGGGGTGGCAGGGAAAGGGATGGGGGGAAGCAGGGAAAGGGATGGGTGGAAGCCGGGAAGGGCATGGGGGGGAGCAGGTAAGGGGAAGGGGGGAAGCACGGATGGGGAGGGGGGGAAGCAGGGAAGGGGACACGGGGAAGCAGGGAAGGGGTTGGGGGAAAGTAGGGAAGGGGATTGGGGGAAGCAGGGAAGGGGAGGGGGGGAGCAGGGAAGAGGATGGGGGGAAGCAGGGAAGAGGATGGGGGGAAGCACGGACGGGGAGGGGGGGAAGCAGGGAAGGGGAAGGGGGGAGGGAAGCTGGGAAGGCGATCGGGGGAAGCATGGAAGGGGAGGGGGGGAGCAGGGTAGGGGAGGGGGGGAAGCAGGGACGGGGATGGGGGAATGCAGGGAATGGGATGGGGGGAGGCAGGGAATGGGAAGGGGGAAAGCAGGGAATGGGATGGGGGGGAGCAGGGACGGGGATGGGGGGAAGCACGGAAAGGGATGGGGGGAAGCAGGGAGGTGCATGGGTGGAAGCAGGGAAGGGGATGGGGGGAAGCACGGAAAGGGATGGGGGGAAGCAGGGAGGTGCATGGGTGGAAGCAGGGAAGGGGATGGGGGGAAGCAGGGAAAGGTGACAGGAAACGGGAAGGGAGACGGGAGGGATGGCAAGGGCGACGGGGAGAGAGGAAGACAGGGATTGCGAGTGGACGAGCGGGAGGCAGGGCGACGGGACGAAGGGACGGCGACGGGCGGGAGGGAGAGCGGCGTACGAAAGGGAGAGAGACGGACGGAAGAGAGTCCGATGGGCGGAAGGGAGGGCGACGGGCGGAAGGGAGAGCGGCGTGCGGAAGAGAGTCCGATGGGCGGAAGGGTGGGCGACGGGCGGAAGGGAGAGCGGCGTGCGGAAGGGAGAGCGGCGTGCGGAAGGGAGAGCGGCGTGCGGAAGGGAGAGCGGCGTGCGGAAGGGAGAGCGGCGTGCGGAAGGGAGAGCGGCGTGCGGAAGGGAGGGTGACGGGCGGAAGGGACGGTGACGGGCGGAAGGTAGGGTGACGGGAGCGACTTGCGGATGGGCGGGCGAACAGAAGGGGAGCGCGATCGCGGACTACGCAAGGAAACGACGTACGAGAGAGCGAGAACCGTGATGTCGCGGGCAAGCGACCGCGAATGGTGGAACCTAAGGGTCGAGCTACCTAGCGCTGCATCCCGGGAGCGCATGGCGGAGCATTTGACGTGTGTTCGTACGTGAGCTGTGTGCAAAAACAGCGTGTTTTGCGTGAAAAACGAATGTGTTTGTGTATGCTTGACAATTAGTACCAGATGGTTTTCAAGTTCACTTGTGGTGAACAGTGCTGCTTTGCCTCCCGAGCCACACCTCGAGCGGGCTTTGAGAGTCGCTGGCCAATCACAGAGCACTAGGTAGCGAGAAAGCTCAACTTCGACTGGTAACTTGGTTTTTTGCGAGTTCATTTTCAGGAATCTTGAACTTGAAAAAAGCCATGTGGTACTCGGGCTTTAAGGCCCCAAACATTGATGTGTGGATACCGAACCTAGCCAGTGCGACTAGGCAACCAAACACACCTCAAATTGCCACTCGAACTGGGACCTAACTGGGGCACTGCTCAGTAGCCCTCCCACTCATACTGCGGTTGGTGCGGGGCAGCTTCCCCTGCCCCAATTCGAGCATCCCATCGAATCACCTTTAGAGCCACCAAATACATGGTGGTGTAGGCAAATACTTTATAAGCAAAATGTACCGCTGAACTGAAGCGAAATCTACATACGTCCACAAAGCTACTAACAAATGTACAACGTACATGCGCCAGCACTCAATCTAGGCAGCTTACTTGAAGAAGCCTTTCCTCCTGCCAAAGACCCCTTTCCTCTTGCCAATAAAGCCTTTCCTCTTGCCAATGAACGCCTTGCGTTTGCCAAGGAAAAGACCTTTGCGCTTGCCAACGAAGCCCTTGAACTTCCTCCCCTTGAACTTGTGGTTGGGGCGGCCCACATACACGTGAGCCACATTACCAGCTGCATCTCAAACACCACACAAAATGGCACACAGGAGAGTAAAAAGACTGAGATACACGCAAGTAACTGACATGACCTCAGCATATCCCCGCAAGGTAACATGGAAGAGACGAATAACACCCTCTTGGGAAATGCGGGCGAGGCCCTTTTTGCAGCCAGCGTCCACGAACGGCGATATTCAAGTAACCAGGTGTCAGAAATTCGCCATCGCTGGTACAAAGGCGAACTAGAAGAGGAGATGTTACTGGCAATGACTTACCTTAGCTGCCTTTCCCGCTTCTCACGGGCTGAGCAAGGAACATTCGATAAGATCGCAAAGTCGCGACGTTTTTCCATTTGGTGACAGTCGCACCCCGCAGTCGTTTGCTAAATCCCAATCACAGATCACTATGGAAATCAAGGAGTCCATCTGTCAAGCTTACCTGGTAGCTGTCGGTCACTCGGGGTGGTGAATCCACATCTACAAACGCATTCATGCATTCCCACCCTAACAGCAACAGCATTTATTTTCAGCTCCGCGCATTTCACGGCGCAATCCACGGTACACACTTTCCGGCTCACCTGGGTAGCCGCGGGGTGCGGCGTACGCAGAACCAGACGGGTAGCCGGCAGGCGGGTATCCTTGAGGGGGATAGCCGGCGGGAGGCGGGTACCCCTGTGGCGGATATCCCTGAGGGGGGTAGCCGGCGGCTGGGTAACCCTGTGGAGGATATCCTTGATGGGGATAAGGGGGGTAGCCGGTGGGTGGAGGCGGGTAACCCTGTTGCGGAGGATAACCGCCTTGCGGTGGAGGGTAACCCTGAGGAGGATACCCTGGGTAACCCTGCGGAGGCGGATAGCCCTGAGGATACCTCGGATCTGCAGAAACGCGTGAATATACACAGAAAGCGGCATTTTCGGAAAATATTAACTCAGCGTAAACAGTAAGTCACTAGGATTGAACTGATAAAAGAACTGCTAAAAGAAAAGCACGCCTGAAGAACAGTGGGAAACATTTCGCGTTACAAAATCCATCCGAAGGGCATGTGATAGTAACGACTTCGTACCCGACATGACGCTGGGAGATGCCGGATCAGGAACTAGTTATGACTGCCTCCTTAGCTCGAAAGATGAGCCAAAGTGCCAGACTGCGAGTTTACGACGCACAACATTGCCTTCATACAAGCAGAACGAAACTCCTCCAAGCCAAGCTCCATTGTCCCCGCCTGAGTCTCTAGGGAGAGGCAAATTTGGGGGCGGTGGTTTGAATTTGTCTACCAGCAATGAACCCAGGGGAACGGCAATGGGAAACGTAGATATGGAGTGGTTCATTTTGAGGGCAGAGTGGTTTCGGAGGCTCGCATTGATGGTTCTGGTGTGTTTGAGGCTTTCAGTACGGTGCAGAGGTTTTTGTATGGTGATGTGTGGCAGAGCACAATAGGGGAGCCAAGTTGTGTGGCAGAGCAAAATAGGGGAGCCAAGTTCTACTTCTGAGTTGCGCAATTTGGCAGGCACTACATGCGGTAAGGCAACCCACATGTGGCAAACACAGCAACCATTCCTCCCACCCGCCATCGCTGCTGCCCCCTTCGATATTTTGTGTGGGTCTCTTCCATCCGTCCATCAAATTGGGACGGGAAATGGGCAATTCTGGTCTCTGGTCGAGAAACCAGGCAAAACAAACCTCGTCCACAGGTACGGCAAAAAGGGGCTCGCTACTTCGGGTCCCGGCATGGGCTCCGGTCTAGTGACGGGGCTAAACTGCTCGCTCAAGGCTTTCAACCTGATCACAGATGTTGAGCGGCCCGATACCAAGCCAATTTGGGTGTAATGGTCAAACCCCAGCTTAGCATCTAGGAATGCACCGTCTAAAGTTATTTATCTCTATACCCCGAAATTTGGAAATTGTAAGGAAAATCACTTTCCTTACTTCGCATCCCTGCTCAACGCGTACATCACTGTAGCGCCTCAGTCAGCACCGTTACCACTCGCGATCCTCGCATCGACAATCACCCCGCCATTTTCGCACATCGCACCCCGACCTCACAACTCGGCTAGTAACGAGCGCTCCGGGCCTCCGCTTCGACATTTTCCAAACCTCAGTCCCAGGCTCGTCGCGCGACAACCACAGTCCATTACCGTTACCACTGTAGTTTCGCTATATATTCTTCGCTCATGCCTTCGCTCATTGTATTCTTGCTTCGATAGTGCAATTCTCGTTCGTTCATTCAATTGCACTCGTAACACTTGGTATTCAGAGCCTACGATCTCATCTCGGACCGCATCCACACCTTCGCTTCCCCACTATCTCAATTTTTTTGGGGGGGGGGTAGACGTCTCTCAACGATACAGCACCGCCGCTCGTAGTGCTCTCTCGTAAGCACGCTCGGCCACGACCGAGGCTCTCGCTGAGCTTGCCCGACACCCCCGCCATGGCCGATCTCACGCTCGCCACATTAATGCAGGAGCAGCTTGATCGTCTCGTGCGTCAGCTGGAAGATTCGGCGCTCGAAATCGCGACGCTCACGGCGGAACGTGACTCCGCCCGTCAACAATCCACGGTGAACATTCCGGCGACATCACACGCACCAACAAATGCATCTGCACAATCGGACGAGCCGATCATCATCTCGTCCGGCAAACCAACACAACACGACAGCATGGGACAACGCTCAGGCGCAGCCAGTGACGGCGCCGCCCAGCCGATGCCTGGCATGGGAGGAGGCAGGATCGCACCAAGCCCGCGGGAGCCCCGGGAAGCCCGTCGGCACGTGGAATTTGCGGCGACAAGTGGCGAACAGGCCATCATGGCACCAATGCCGCTCAAGCCGCAACGCCCGCCCTGCTTCGACCCAAGCCAGCGTGGAGGTCCGACGGTTCAATCGTGGGTCTTCACGATGAACGTCTTCTTCGACGCAAACTACGTCGAGTCGGACGCCGCGAAGATCCGGTATGCAGTTTCGCTGCTAAGGGGCCCCGCCATGGACTGGTGGCGAGTCATCGTGATGTCGCCACGCGCCTACGAGCCACCGTCACACGAGGAAGGGCCCACGGGTCCAGCTGTCACCTGGAGTTCGTTCTGCGAGACCGCCCAATACAGCACGTGGGATGCGTGGTGCGCAGGGCTTCGGGCGCGCTTCGAGCCGATCGCGGCTTCGATTTCGGCGCGTCAGAGATTGCGCACTTGGCGCCAGCTCGGGTCGGTTCAAGATTATACAAGCGGTTTTCTCGCACTTTGCGAGCAGGTCGGCTACATGCACGAAGCGGAGCGGGTGGACCGTTACGTCGGAGGGCTGAAGCCGGATATCTCGCACGAAATAATGCTGCGCGAACTCTCTAACTTCAACGAGATTCTCGCGCTCGCCGAGAAAATCAACATCCTACGCCGACCGAGACCGGGGTCCTACTACGGACATTGCCCTCGGGGACCGACCGAGCACGCCACTGTACACGCCGTTGCAACAAATGCAGCTGCCGCACCGTTTAAGGGGCGCTGCTTTGCTTGCAACAGGCCGGGCCATCGCAAGAGCGAATGCCCAGAGGAGCTGAGGCGCCGCGGAGCAGAGCAGGGGAGGGAGTCTCAGAGGCAGGGAAACGCCAGCAGTCAGTAGAAGTTGGGCCAACTACTGACGAGACTTCCTGCTCGCCCAACCACACCGACCCTCACCGAGTCACAGTACCGATTCACGCCATCGATCGGGCTCGGATGAATAAGGAGGGTACAGCGACGGATTGCCCAGTACTGATCTACGGGAAAATACAAGGAGCAGCAGTAAAGATTTTTATTGACGGAGGAGCAAGTCATAGTTTAGTAAATACCGCGACCGCACGGAAACTGCAGTTAACACTTAACCGTTGCTTACCTGAGATAGACGCACGCTTAGTCGACGGCACGCCACTGGCCATACGGGAAAAGGTGGAGCGAGTAAAAGTCTGCTGCGGGGGGAACTTCGGGTTTACACAGGAAATGCTCGCAACGACACTGGATAGGCACGACATCTTATTGGGACGTGATTGGCTGCGATTGTATAACCCGCGAATCAGCTAGACGACGGGTAGCTGCACCGTGCGAAGTAGTGGTAATTGGGTCGAATTACCTCGCTGGCAGTCGCCCGAGTCTTCAACGGTCCACGTCAACGCCATCACGATGAAACGGGTTGTCGCCGCGGGAGCTGACGTGTACGCAGTGGATATAGCATTAGTAGGAGAAGAGGAGCCGCCGAGCGATTTTCAGAAACTGTTGGCAGCAGTACCGCCCGAACTTCAGGAACTGTTGAAACGGTACTCGGGGATTTTTCCAGACGACTTACCGCAAGGGCTGCCACCTCAGCGGGCACATGACCATAGGATCGAGTTAGAACCGGGGGCACAGCCAATTGTATAGCGTCAGTTCAGACTGACACAGCCCGAGCTCGACGAACTAAGGAAGCAGTTAGATTATCTGTTAGAGAAGCAATTTATCCGACCGAGCTCGTCACCGTTCGCCGCACCGATACTGTTCACACCGAAAAAAGACGGAGAATTTCGCATGTGCATTGATTACCGAGCGCTCAACAGAGTAACAGTCAAATCGCGGTACCCCATCCCCCGCGTCGACGAACTGATCGACCAGCTGCGAACACATATATATAGATATACAAGAGGCTAAGCAAGCAAGAGCAAGAGTATATATAAGTGACAGTACAAGCAAGGTCAAGAAGTGAGCAAGTGAGGCAAGACAGGCACAAGACCCAACTGAGTGCAGAAGCGCTGATGATCACAAGGCGCAAGTGCCTTGGTGAAGACATCAGCAGTGTTGGCCTCAGAGGCCACGTATGCAAGCCGCAACTGTCCACGTTGCTGTAGCTCACGAGCAAGAAAGTAGCGGAGCGCAATGTGCTTTGTCTTGTGCTCCAGTCGCTGCTCTCGACACAAGGCCAGCATGGCCTTGTTGTCTACGTACAGGACTGGAGGAGAACGAGGCGGCTCTCCAAGGTCGGTCAGCAGGTAGGTGAGCCAGCGAAGCTCCTGGGCAGCCATAGCCCCCGCGTAGATCTCAGCCTCACAACAGGAGCCGAGAACAGAAGACGAGCGGGTAGCCCGCCACGAAACAGAGCCGGAACCGAGGCTGAAGGTGTAACCCTGCGACGACCGCTGCGTAGCCTGGTCGTCAGCCAAAGAAGCGTCCACGTGCCCAGTGAGGACCACTGGACTCCGCCCTCCCAGCACTAGCCCCATGCCCGACGTACTGCACAAGTAGCGCAACACCCTCTTCGCTGCAGCCATGTGCTCTGGTCAGTGTCTCCCAGGAGCAACATAGCGTGCGAGAATGCTAAGAGGGTATGCAAGGTCAGGTCGTGTGCAGGTCATCAGGTACATGAGGCAGCCAACAAGCTCTGGATACGGGCCACTCGACTCTACGGACTCATCCGAAGGCAGAGCTGAGAGCGAGTGGCGAGTAGGCAGAGGAGTGGCCTGAGGCGAGGAGTACGTGAAGCCGAAGCGCTGAAGGACCTGCTGCACCATGTGTGACTGAGTCAAGGTAATGGTGCGGCGTGCTCTGTCCCGGGTGATCTGCAAGCCAAGGTAACTGCGCAGTTCACCCAGGTCAGTGCACGTGTGTCTCTTCTGCAGCTCGGACTTCACGTAGGTGAGTCCAGCAGTGTCAGCTGTGGCAAAGACCAAGTCGTCGACGTACACGAGGATGTAGAACGGCGGCATAGAGGTGTCGGTGCGCAGAAACAGCGACGGGTCGGCAGTAGAAGGAGCAAACCCAAGAGCCGCAAGCATAGTCCTCAGTGTGTCGTGCCACTCACGGGGCGCCTGGCGGAGACCGTAGACTGGACGCCGGAGACTCCACAGGGTACCAGGAGGGAAAGAACCAGTGAAGCCAGGTGGGCGGCGCAGCCAGATCTCCTCGTGCAGGCTGCCCTGCAAGAACGCAGTGCTAAAGTCGAGAGAGTGCAGCTCGTATTCACGGTGAGCAGCAACGTGCAGCAGTACCCAAAGAGTGGTCATCTTCGGGGTGGGGGAGAAGGTCTGAAAGTAGTCAACCCCCTGCCGCTGACTGAAGCCACGAGCCACGTAACGCGCCTTGAAGACAGGCGGAGAACCCGGCGGCCGCTTCACCCTGAAGATCCACATGCCACTGACGATGTTCACCCCAGGAGGGGGGACAGCGTCAACGTAGGTGCCTGTGGACTTCCAGGAAGCCATCTCTGCATCCATAGCTGCCTGCCACTGAGAGGAGTAGGGACCCTCTATCGCCTCCGCGTAAGAGCGCGGAGTCGGGATGTCAAGTGCATCCGGGTCTCCCTCAGGGGTAAGTAGTACGGACAAGAGATGCGGTGAAGCGGCTGCCAGGCACTGGAACTCCTCCTGCCTGTCCTCGAGGACGTCCGTGCCAAGGGCACACTCACCCCCGACGGACGGAGGACAGACAGACTCAGACTCTGCGACAAGACTAGCAGCGTAGTCTAAGCGACAGCGAGCAGCAAAGTCGACGAGCTCAGTAACGAGGGCAGACGCAGCAGAAGACTCGAAAGAAGGGTCAGTGACGACAGTAGCAAGGAAACGCGTGACAGTAGGACTGGCAGCACGAAGGGAGTCCGACTCCGGGTCGGCGAGAGCAGGAAGAGAGGACGCAGGAGGAGAAGGCAAAGGGGCACGCAGAGGAGCAGTAGACGGACGCAGAGACATCCGGTGCGTGGCAGGGACAGGCGGAGGACGCTGACGCGAACCGCGACCACTAGCACGCGCAGCACGAACAGGTGACGCGGGATGAGACACAGGCTCACGACACTCAGTAAGACCTCCAGTAGGACCAGCGTAGGGAGAAGGAGCACGTAAGGGGGAGGCAGGCTGTAGCTGTGACTGGGACGGGACAGGCTGTGGACCCTCTAAGAGAGGAGGAGAGCCAGTAGAAGGTGGAAGACCAAGAACCTGCTGCAGGAGTGGAACGAAGTACGGTCGAGGCCGCGCGGCGACGCCAGACACAACAGGGACAGCACCAGTATCCCAAGTAGAAGCACCCGCTCCAGTAGCACCCCCAGCATCACCCCCAGCAGCTCCAGAACCCCCAGCAGCATCAGGAGCCCCGCCAGCAGGACCGCCAGTGGTAGTCTCAGCGCCAACACCCTCAGCAGCACCAGCTCCAGTCGAACCCGCAGGCCCAGCAGCTCCAGTACTCCCAGTACGAGCACCTCCGGGACCCGCGACAGCAGCACCCTCAGCAGTCGAAGAACCTTCAGCACCAGCACTACGCCTCCAGCGCCGGGCAAACCACTCACGCAGCTCCTGTGGGGAGAGTGGCTCTCGGCGAGACGAAGCACCCGGCGAACCTCCAGGCTCAGCACCCCCAGGCAAAGCACCTCCAGGCGTAGCACCCCCAGGCTCAGCACCCCCAGGCTCAGCACCCCCACGCTCAGCACCCCCAGTCTCAGCACCCCTAGGCACAGCACCCTCAGCAGCACCAGAGTCACCAGTGACCTCGACATGCTCGACCGCGTCTACCTGGGACACACCTGAAGGGGCAGGACCCTGAGGGGGGAGGGGGTCTACCGGGGAGGGACCTGGTACCAAGAAGAGCGGGGGTGGGGGGAGGGAAGGAGTGCGGTAGGGGAAGAGGCGGTAGTAGGGTCCCGACTCATCGAACGTGACGTCCTGGGAGGACAGAACACGGCGAGAGGTGGGGTGGTAGAACTGCCACCCAGGGGCGTCGGGGGGGAACCCCAAGAAGACGCATGGAGCAGCGCGAGGGGACATCTTGTCCGCAGACAAGTCGCGCACAAACGCCCGAGATCCCCAGACCCGGAACGCCGACGCATCTCCAACCTTCCCTGTCCACAGCAGGGCTGGGGAGGTCTCCGGCCGGGAGACCGTGGGGTGAAGGTTGATCTGGTGCGCCGCGTACCTCACCGCAAACGGCCACAGAAAATGGGGGGCAGCCGCGTGCATCATGGACGTACGAGCGACGTCCATGACCATGCCAATGCGGCGCTCAGCGATCCCATTTTGCTGTGGAGAGTCCAGAAGCGTGAAGGTCTGACGAATGCCGCGTGCGCGACAGTAGGCTCTCAGAAGGCCAGAGGAGAACTCTCTGCCTCTGTCTGAGTGCAGACGCAGAACAGGAAAGTCCGAGCCAAAGCTCTGCCTGAGCTGGAGACGAGCTGCGCGGATCCAGTCGATCAGCACCTCAGTGACATCACCCTTGCTGCGCAAGGGGAAGACTGTGGTGTAACGCGAGTAGTCGTCAACAACAAGTAGGAAGTAGCGATCGTGACCCTGTCTACGGACGCGGGCTGGGCCCCACACGTCCATGTGAAGCGTCTGCAACGGGGCCTCAGTTGGAGGAAACTGGGAGGAGTGAGGGGCAGCACGCTGGCGCCCCTCAACACAGGGGACACAGGTAGGGCCAGGGCCCTGAGGAAGGGGAGGGAGGGACCGGGGGAGACCAGACACATGAAGACGGGAGGCCATGCCTCTGAGCCAAAGCAGAGAGGGGTGACCTAGGCGGTGGTGCCAGAGGAGAGTCTCGTGAGACAGGAGACGACACGAACAGGGGGCAGACTCAGGATCAGACCTGGACGCTGCAGCAAACACTTGACCAGACGCAGGGACCCTACCAGACTCAGTAACTGGGGGAGACGCAGTGGTCAGGTTGTACAGGCTCGACCCTGGCTGACGGGTAAACGTAGCCAGGTGTCGACCTGTGCTAGCCTCTGTGCAGTGCGTCACCCGCTGACGAGCAGGGGTGAACAGGTGGACTCCCGCATCCTGTAGGTCAGCACCACTCACCAAGTTTGTAGAGAACGAGGGGAGGTAGAGACCAGACAGGGTGCCAGAGGGAGCCGCCGGACACGGGAGGACAGTGGAGAAGCGAGACAGGACAGGACCCCCGGTGGGGTCAGCCAGGGAAACCGCAACCGGCCGACTAAGCGGCGTGAGTGTGGTGCGATCCCGAAAGAAGGAGCGAGACGCCCCATAGTCAAGGGTGAAGGTGTGGGAGGCCGAAGCCAACGTAGTAACTGAGAGCGCAGACTCACCAGTACCCGAGGACGTAGACACACTAGCACCTAGAGCAGCACCGGCGCAAGCACCTAGGGCAGCAGCCTCACCAGTACCTAGAGCAGCAGTCTCAATGCCCGGGTCGGGCGGAAAACACCGGTAACAGTCACCCTCATCACTAATGGTCACAGCATACATGGCAGCAAGGATAGCATCAAAGTCAAGATCAAAAATAGCTACGCCTGCCCTAGACAGCTCTCCCCAGCGGGAGAGCTCCGTGGCCTCCGGAAACTGCTGACGCCAAGCGTCCGTCAGGCGGCCAAAACAGCGCTGGGTGGAATGGGCACCCCCACACTGCTCACCTGCGCGGTCGCCAGTGCGAAGGACATAGGTGCAGGGACCAAGTCCCCCACCACGCTGACGCTGCGTGTACCGCTCACGGAGCTGCTGAGGGGTGGGGAGGTCGCGAGAACGCTGCTGCTGCTGCTGCTGACACTGACCACCCCCAGTGCCGCTCCGCTGCGACGTGCCACTCCGACCACCTCCACCACCTCCACCTCCACCTCCTCCACCTCCACCTCCTCCACCTCCGCCACCGCCGTCACCTCCGCCAGTACCGCCGCCGCCAACGCCGCCTCCGCCTCCACTGCTACCACTAGCACCCCCACTCCCACCACCTCCTCCACCGCCACCCCCACTCCCTCCGCCACCTCCACCTCCACCGCCACCGCCCCCACTAGCCCCACCTGCTCCCTTGCCCCCCTTGCCCTTGCCAGGGCGACGTCTCCCGCTAGGGGCAGACGCTGCACCGACCGACTCAAGACCAACGAGGTCGGCTGCAGCGGCAGAGGCGACAGAGGGCAAGAGAGGGGAAGGAGAACACCCCTCAAAGATGGGGGCGCGGGGGTCACCTCGAGAGGAACCTACAGCGACGATGCTCTTTTCCGCCGCTAGGAGGGTCTTCTCTAGGCTGTCGACTATGAGAGTGGTGGGACAGACCGCAAGGAAGTGGTCCCGGACTACACGAAGGGAGTCGGGGAGGCGGGTGACTAGAAAGTAGAGAGTGATGTACATGGGGGGGGGGTTCTTGGCGCAGAAGTCAGCAGGAAGCGCAGCGCGGTAGCGGATGTCACTAGTGCGGAGGTGCGTCATGAGATCAGCGACTGTGGGGAAGGCGGCAAGGTCAGGGAAGAGGAAGGGTAGCATGAGGCGGTTCAGTGCAGCAGTGGCAGGGGAAGAGTAGCGCGCAACTACAGCGTCGTACAAGGTCTGAGCACTCTTGTACTGACTAAAGTGCGCGTGCTCAGTGGTAGGCAGGTGGCGACGCACAGCAAGACGTGCAGCTGCATCGCAGGTGGCCCACTGAGAGCGAACAGTGGGGTCAGCATCAGCAGCAGGGGCAGGAGATGCGCCAGAGGTGAGGTCAAAGAGAGAAAGACTGTCCGCCCTATCGCAGTGTAAAAACAGCTGCAGGCCGTCGACCCAGACCTCAAAGTCAATGGCTCGACCCTCAGCGTCAAAAGTGAGGACACTAGGGGTAGCCATGACGACGAGAGACTAGCAGTGCAAGCAGTAGGGGAAGGGCACGCAGTGACAGTGGGGCTGTGCTCACCGGACAGGGCAGGTCGGGCGGCTCGGCAGACGGGCGGCTTGGCTGCTGGGCGGCACGGCGGCTCGGCGGCTCGGCTGCTCGGCGGCACGGCGGCTCGGTTGCCCGGCGGCTCGGCTGCTCGGCGGCTCGGCAGCTGGGCGGCTCGGCTGCTGGGCGGCTCGGCTGCACGGGCGGCTGGGCGGCTCGGCTTCTCCTGTCCTCGTCGGCGCGGTGGTCGGCTGCTCGGGTGGCGCGGCAGGAGAGGAGAGCGGCAGGGCCGCAGCAGACGGGCGGTGGGGCCCCAGGTGTAGGGCGGCGGGGCCGCAGCAGAAGGGCGGCGGGGCCGGTAGAGTCGGGCGGCAGGGCCGCGAAGAGCAGGGCGGCGGGGCCGCGAAGGACGGGCGGTGGAGCCGCTGAAGCAGGGCGGCGGGGCCGCGAAATGAAGGGCGGCAGGGCCGCGAAGGAGGGGCGGCGGGGCCGCTGAAGCAGGGCGGCGGGGCCGCGAAGTGTAGGGCGGCGGGGCCGCTGAAGCAGGGCGGCGGGGTCGCGAAGGAGGGGCGGCGGGGCCGCTGAAGCAGGGCGGCGGGGCCGCGAAGTGTAGGGCGGCGGGGCCGCGAAGCGCAGGGCGGCGGGGCCGTTGAAGCGGGGCGGCGGGGCCGCGAAGTGTAGGGCGGCGGGGCCGCGAAGCGTAGGGCGGGGGGGGGGGGGGGGGGGCGCTAAAGCAGAGTGGCGGGGCCGCGAATTGAAGA